TTCACAAAGTTACTGCACACCAAGATGACCCATTCAACAACCTTGCTGATTAACTTGCTCATAATCACTAAATATTACACTATCTAACATTCTCAACTAACAAACCTTACAACCTTAACTATACACCTTTTATCAATGAATTCTCTATCGAAATTCCTATTTGACACTCTATTTGAACTATATGCCAAGCCTATATTATATCATTTTGGACATCTCAACACTGTTTTCAACAATGGTCTATTATTGAATTTGACATTAACTGGAAAGCCACATGGCTCTATATCAACAATAATTAAAAAATCTCTAATTTTGCTCATAGCTTTTATTCATCTATTTTGAAAACTTTTTGAATTGAAATTCTTACAGATGAACTTCCTGTCCCTCATATTCTTCATAAACATAACTCTTTATTTTCTTCCTCCTATCATTAATGCAACCAAACCAGCTTCTCACTTCATTGGGCTATCTGTCCATCAACTCAAACAATCTATCACCTAATCTCTAACTCTCTTCAAAGTATCTTAAATACAATTAATCTTGATATGCCTGCCAATTTGGTTTCTGATTTATATACTGAAATTCTTACACTTAACAATTTTAAACTGCATAACTCTTAATATATACCTTCACTTATTTCTATTCTATCTGGTCTAGTTCCTATTGACTTTATTTCTATTATTCACAATTCTTCTATTTCTTATCATACTGCTACTATTCTTTCTATTAAACTTCTTTTTCATTTAAACCAACCAATTTATAAACAAATATGGATTCTAACTGTATTTCACATTCCGCACAGTCTCAAACCATACTTTTTACTAACTCAACTCACATTCACTCTTTTAATCCATTTCTACCTTCTATTTCAATACCATAAATTATTACTAAAATTGATCTTTGGACTATCCAATAAATTAAATACTATATTCCTTTCTCTTATATTATTACTCAAATCCAAATCTAGATGAGTCTTGGCCATTCTTGTAGGTTTAGGTCACAGATTATATGTCTGAGTCTTTAATCTTCATATGTAATTTAAAAACAAGCTTTTTTTTATAAAAATTTCAATTGAATTTCAATAAAATTAAAGACATGGCCTCACCATTAATATTTTTAAAAAAAAAAAAAACATAGAAAGATTGGAGGAAATCTAAGATGATAGTCTTGGCATTTAGTCAATATAGTTAGTAAGTGTATAGCCTAGAATTAACCAGTTTTTAATAAATATAGTTGAATTTATAGTAGGTGTATTGGTAGTATTAGAATTAAATTGAGAAGGTAGAATTAAAGAATATATTTTTGAATATTTAGATTTTTTAATTATATTGTGAGCTTTTTCTTATTATTGTTGAAGGATATTACATGGTAGTTATATATGTTAATGAAACCAATTTAAAGTAGCATTTGATAATGCTATAAGAAAAGATGATATTGTTTTATGAAGTAATATTTTGACATTATTGTAATGAGATATAGAGAAGAGACCTTCGATAAGATTAAGAAAGTGGAAGTGTAGTGGAGTGTTTGTTTATTGTAACAGAATAATATAGATTTTATCTGAAAATTTAGGAGAGATGTTTAATTGTTGAATATTAATTGAAATTAAAGTTTGAAGGATTTGTTAAAGATTATATTTTTGTTTAGGACATGTAAGGAGATTTGATATATCTTCAGAAGTTTGACAATAGATACAATTTGAAGTAGTATATAAGAGCAAATATCATAGATTTAAGTTTTGTATAGTAGGTAAATTGTTATTAATAATTTTAAGACGAACTGTATAGAATTTTTAATCATTATTTAAAGAATTGATAATGTCAACATTTGTTGACTATTTAATAGAGAATGGGTTTTGAAAAGATTTGAGTTGTGATCAAAAGAGAAATGATTGTATAGTAATTGTGTTTTGTAAGAATATTTGAGTTTTAGTAAGTATTATGTAGTTATGTTATTTAAAGTGATCAGGAAGTAATGTTGTGAAGTTAGATATAATTAAGTGTTTAGAGGTACCTTGTTTAGCTAAGAGATCAACTTGATTATGAAAAGAATTATTAGAATAAGATTTAACTTTGTAAAAGGAGACCTGAATAGTTAATTAAATAATTTTTTAATAGATTATAAATATAACAACTAATATAGAACTCTTAAGTGAACTACTTAAATAGGTAACCAAAAGTTACATATATAACTAGTTGTACACTTACCTTGCACAAGTAATATGTAATATATTAACTAAAAACACAAATTAAGAAATTTGTTGCTATTAACACCAGTCTTAATAAATAATAATAATAATAATAAAATTATATTTTATAAACAGTAATCATATTGTATATGTTGATATGAAAAGTTATGCAAATATAAATTAATTTACAACATATATCAATATGTCACAGATATGATTTTGAGAAACATTGTCAAACCTTTTTGCATAGCTTTATTTTTTTACCAAAAAAACATTACAGATTTATTATTGTATGCTATTTTTATACAAAAGTATTGACGCATTCTTCATATTTTATAAGAAATATTACACAAAAAGTACAATAAAAATAACGTTCCCAAAAATATAGTTTGTGCTTTAAATTATGACCCATATTGATATACTTGGCATGTAAAATATATACTGGTAATAAACTTGAATATTATAAGGTATATAGTACCTAATTTTATTTGATTCAATTAGAGTCAGCTAAAGTTACTAATTCGATTGGCCAAAAATAGGGTACTCATGTCGATAAAGGAGATAAGTCACGTGTCATGCTTAGAGATGGGACACTGCGCGGGCGGAATTTTACGGAAGCCCGGAATTATTCGTAATATCGCAGAATTTAACAATTTTGGCCTGCATTAGCCGTAATGCAGGCCCGTGCAGGCTGCGCAGCCTGCGCAGTAGATTCGAAAAATCCTCGATTTTCCCATCTCTAGTCATGCTGTGTCGTTAGAATTCCCCCTTTTGATACATCTAAACATACCCTAAAACTAACCAATAATATTGCATGTTATTATAGCAAAGTTAGTAACCGGTATAGAAATTTTAGGGTATATTTAGATGTATCAAAACAGTAGGCGCAGAAGTATCAAAAATGAATGTTTTGCCTCTCCGCTTTAGACGACCCCGAATAGGTAAGTATTCACGTGAATTGGTGACTTACACAAAATTAAATCACAATGAAGTCACGTGGCGGACAGACAGGCATTTCTTCTTTATACTACGCTTAATAAAAAATGATATTCAGATTTCAAAAAATTTTTTTTAAAAAAAGGTAATTCTATTTTCACCCAGGTTAAAGTCACCCGATAAACTATAATGTCATTTACTTAACTGAAATTGATGCTATTTGTACTAGTTTGAGTGAGTTTAAAATTTTTTAGCAACTTCCACAGGAAATCCGTTATTCAATAGTACTTATTTAACTATTAGACGTAGGATATGCATAAATCTTTTTTCGTTAGTTTATGTACATACGATAAATTATTAAGGTTGCGCCAATTATGGCTTATAGAAATATCCAAATTATCAAATTACAAATTTATAAATCCTAGTTTGACGCGAAACTTGTGAAGTTTGATTACATGATCACTCCTTACGCACTAATAAAAAGTTTTTTTTTTTGCAATTACCTGATATAAAATTTTTTATTAAACTCTAATCTTGAACATTTTTATATGCATTACATTGAAATCACTGCATTGAAATCAGAAGACCAACGAAATCCAAATGCTTTATAAGTTACACGATCCAACGCTAGTATAACCGAGCATAAATTATAAAAACCTTTTTATAAAGATATAAATTTAACAAATCTGACCGTCAATCATCTTACTTATATTTGACCCAATTCAGTTGGATTCCCTTTACATTTAATCCAAACTCAGTATAATTTCTCTTATATTCGGACTTGTTTTTAATCGATTCCTGTGATGCAATTATCTGTTATGTATGGATTCGGTCGGTATAGCCAGCTATCGGTTATAATCAACTTACTAAAATTTTCATTTCCAGTTAATAATTAAAATTGTTTAATTAAATTCTATTCATACTACAGTATTCTACGGTCCTACTTTATCCAAAATTTAAAATTTAAAACGTTATCAGCAATCGCCGGTCTGTGGCGTTCGGTAACTGATGACTAATTTCAAAGTTTTTGGATTTCAGAGAAAGTATTTGCTTTTTGTTTTATAAGATAATTAAGAAAAAGCCAACTTTAATTAATAGTTCAAAAAGAAAAAACCATCTCGAATTTAGAAAATTGAATACAATTGATCGTGATTAGTGAAGGGGGGATTATTTCCACATTTGTGGTTATTGCGGTAATTGTGGAAATGACGTAATTTCCACAATTTCACAATGTGGAATTGTGGAATTGATGATCATTGGTAACTTTAGTAATTCACACTTGTGGTAGGAGTTAGAGAAAAGTAGTTATGATAGTAAAATTGTCCAACGAAAACTTTTTGTTAGGGCACAAAAAGCGAGTTCTTATGCTGATTTTTGAGTTATGATTGATTTTTGGCAGAACGAACGTATGTTTTGAATATTTCCTAATCGTGTTACGTTACACGTGACCTTTAAATATGATTAGTAGTTCAGGTGCAAACCCGGTACACATTTTCCGAGTGCGTGAACTGTGGAAATTACGTCATTTCCACAATTCCGTAAGAATGGAATTGTGGAATTACTAAAATAATTTAAGATCATCAATTCCACAATTGTAGAATTAATTCCGCAAATGTGGTGCAATCAGCGTAGCGGTCTAGATATCAATATCGATAGAGAGACAATTCTCTAGAGGTAACAAAGGGTAGAGGGTAGATCATTTTAATCTGTTCAAATATTTCTTTGTAACATTAACGTATAATTCGTTACACTGATCATTCGTTAGTACATGTATATTAGCATTAATGATAAAATAAATTTTCATATATTATGAAAGTTTTAACATACTTTATTAAGAATTTAATGATTGATTATTTTAATAAAATATTGGTTAAACTCATTAGGAATAAATCTTAGGTTTCCTTCCTATAAAAGCAGCAGCTTGTGACCATAATATAGATCGATCTCTAAAATTTTTATCATCATAAAAAAGTCTAAAATCAGCAGGCCTATACAAAAATTCTAATATTTTATCAGAGTTTTTTATGCTGTAAAATTCAGAAGAAGGAATTGTAAGTTTTCCACCAAGAATAAAAGGTTTAGGCATTAATGTATTATTTTGTAAATTTAATTTAGATATAATATTAAATATGAGTGTTGAATCAATAACAACTCCACCTTGACAAGAAGAATATGACAAAGGTGAGTTTACAAATCCACCAACCGCTACAGTAGTTACGTTATTAACTTCAGCAGCACCTTCTGCGATAAGAGCGCAAGAAGATCCACATAAACTATTTGTTAAAATAATCAAATCATCAGATTTCCAAGGTAGAGGAGCTATTAAGTGCCGAGATATTAAATCTTTATATTCATATGGATTACTTATAAGAAATCTGTTTGAATAACGTTCGGTAACACCACCACGTGTATAAAAATTATTACCAATAAGATCCTCTACATATTGAAATTTTGTTAGATTTGTTGAAGAAACAATTTCGTTCAAATTTACTAGACCTTGCAATACAAGTTTAAATTGTTTAGTGACTCTGATATCCATATTATAGAATGTGTTTGCATCAGGAAATAAGAGTAGATTGATAAAGTTGCTGATTAGAACAAAACCACCAAGATTGTCGGATAAATCAAGGACTACCTTCAATAAAATGAATGATTACAATTATTACTGTACAAATTTTACAATTATTATAAAGTATCATTGTTTAATTTACTTACTTTTTTAACTCCTGTATTTGCCAATGCTTGAAATCCTGTAATAATTTCAACAGCCAAAGTATTATTTAAATGAACATCTTCAGTCTTAATTTTAACAATGCCAAAATCTTGTTCTTTAAAAAAGCTAATAAAGTCTACAATTTCATATATTATTGTAATAACATGTTCATTCGATTTCAATTCACGAACATTCTTGTGTGCTTCTTTAATTTCTAAAAGTTTGGCAATAAGTTGTTGATAATAATCGTTTGTAGAGTTTTTACAAATATTGGAAAAATAAGTTTTCGAATTATTGAAATTATTTAGAATTGTTTGAATACCAATCACACTCCAATTTCTTTTAACAAGTTTAGGATGGTTATCACAATTTAAAGTGTAAGTAATACTTGGTGTTTCTGGTAAATCAACTCTAGTGAAAAATGTGATTCCTGGATAATTAACATCAAGAGCTACGTTAAATCGTACGCCAAGATCTTTTGAGATGTAATTAGGAAATTCGGTAATCACTTGAATCGCTCGGCGACCATCAATATGAGTTACCTCACAATTAATATTAGTAGGATCAATGGTGTCATTGAAAACTTTGATTTTCTATTTATATATAATGAAATAGCTGTCAAATAATAATGATAATGATAGTGATAAAAAGCTTTGCATATATATAGACTAAATTCTAAGTTACCTGCACACCATCATCAGTAACAATAGAATATAATGTTAAGTTCGTATAAAAAACAAATGATGAAAAACAATTTGTTATAAAACTCGTGTGTGCATCTCTCAATTCAAAAATAAGTTTTCTAACACCGTCCTGTCATAATATATATACATATATATATAAGTTACTGCAATTAAAGCTTGACATCAGAAAGCGTAGAAATTACCATAAATTGAAATAAAGTATCATAACGTCTTTTTTGTAAACGGTTCAATTGGACCAGTAGATCTATCGGTTTAAAATGAAATTCTCTTTGTGGTGGTTCTTTTGCCTTATACAGAAACGGATAAAATCCATGAAACAACGCGTCAAGCGTTTGAATTGTCTACGATTTGAATTGGCGTATATTTAATAAGTTGTCAAGCAAAAAAAAGAAATTTATCATTTTTAAAAAACATTTATCATTTTTAATTACAGTATTATACAATACCTGAGAAGCTATTTCTTTGTCGAATGGGAAATTCATGTAACAATCTCTTACATCAGTATAAGTGAAAAAGGTTGTGTTTTTCGAAATATATTCATTATGAATCCTCGCACATCCATCATTTTCATCATAACGTGGAATTCGATATGATCGAGCATTTACAGAGAATCCAAATAAAACTAAGAAAATCACTGCAAAAAATTTCATGCTAATCAACAAAAGAATATTGCTCTCTATAATAAAATTTCGTAGTAATTAAACATTAAAAAGAAAAAAAGAAAAAACCATTTCTTTACATCAATAAAATGGTTGAAATTTATATACATCCTCATGATACCATTCCCAACGCTAAATTCAAATTCAAAATATAGTAAACAATAACATGAAAATTTTGTTTATATTTTTAGACATAAACCACGAATTACCATAAATTTCAAGATTTCCACTCGTATCTTTATTGGTGATGGGAGTGCATGATGTAATATGATTCATAAGAATAAGATGTATGTGCATGCCCATTTTTGGACGAATTTCTGACTTGCCCTGCCTAATCTGAAATGGAAATTTACTCTTTGTTGATTTGCGAGTTTAAGCATCAATAATTAATAATATTTATCTATTTATGTAAATTATTAAAAAGGGGAAATAGATTAGATAATAATTATTAATATTTCATTTAATAATTAAGGGGCAGGTTCTAGCAAATGTTCATCGTAATTACTAATAACGAAAATACTAATATCGAAAGTACTAATAATGAACGAAAGTAACTAATAACGAATGTACTAATTACGAAAGTGCCAATAACGAAAGTACTAATAACGAAAGTACTAATAGGCGATTGGATAACATTAGAATTTCCTAAATAATTCTCTAATGAATTTGTGATCACTTAAATTGGACTGATTATGCTTTAAGAATATGCAATGGAAATTTTTTGACGGTAAGGACGTGCATGAATTCGAAACTTATTAAAATATTCCGTTCATTTAAAATTATTGTTCTTGATTCATCATACTTAAGAATTATTACCACAAAATGGTTGGAGTTACTATGGATTAAATTCATGTGATTCCAAGTCACACCACATTGATATTCATTGTCGTTCGTGTGTCTCTTCGCTATTTCGTTAGTCAATTTTGGCGATATGTATACATCAAAAATTTGTATGCAATTACACAAATTTATAAATATGGATATAGTATCCCCGTTATACTCCGGATATAAATGCACTATTATATTATTAATTGATCGATACTATACTTTTTTGTTGGAACAATTATTAATAATAATCTACGTAATTTGTTTTTTTCGATTTTTTTTTTTTTTTGTAAATCTTTACAAAATGATAGCACTGCCAAATGAATGCCTTTTTGAAATATTTAGTAATCTTAGAAAGTATTATAGATTCCTTTTTTCATGCCTTCTTGTAAATCGTCAATGGTGTAGAACTGTTATTCCAATCTTATGGAGCGAACCATTATCACGTTGCAGAGATGGAAGACTTATAAAGATATACCTTATGCTATTGAATGATGAAGAAAAAGCTCCATTAATTCCATTAAATATATTACCTTCAAATCATCCAATCCCATTATTTGAATATACATCTCATACCTTTTTAATCGATAATTGTAATTTAAAAAAAGGTATTATCAATTGGCTTTATCCTGACGTACATAAACCTCGTACTTTCACTGATTTTTTCAGAAAATATAATGGATCAGAAGATGTGATTAAAACAGTTAAATATTCTTTAATTGCAATGTTTTTACGAACAAGTCAAAAAATTAAGCATTTAAATTTAGATAAAATTATTAACAAAAGGATAGTAGAAATTTTAGTAGAAAACCTTTATGAAAATGCCACCATTACTTCCTTAGACCTCTCTCGAACTGAACTTAGGTTTGAAGAAGTAAAAGCACTAGCAAATATCCTTGATAAAAATATCTGCCTGACTTCATTAAATCTTTATTATTGTAAGCTTGGTTCTGAACATGCAAAAATATTGGCAAAGGCTCTTTGTAGGAATAAAGTTCTATCTTCGTTAAATATTTCATTTAATGATATTGGTTTTGAAGGAAGAAAAGCATTTGTTGAAGTACTTTATAGAAATAAGACTTTGACCTCGTTGGATCTTAGTTATACTCAATTTGAATTTGAAGAAGTTCTTTACAAAAATATCTCTTTGACTTCCTTGAATCTTGATGGTAACAATCTAAGCTTTAAAGGGGCAAAAAAATTGGCTGATTTTCTAGCCAAAAACACTACATTAACTTCTTTGAGTCTTTATTATAATAATTTTAGTTTTAATGATATCAAAGTAATAGCAGAGGCTCTTTGCAGCAATACTGTTTTAACTCTCTTAAATATTGGACAGAATGAAATCGGGGTTGAAGGTGCAAAAATGATAGCAGAGGCACTTTGCAAAAATATTGGGTTAGCTTCTCTAGACCTTTGTGATAATCAACTTGGTTTTAAAGAGGGTGAAGCATTGGCAAAGGCTCTTTATAAAAACACTACTCTGACTTCCTTGAATATTTGCGATAATCAACTTGGTTCTGAGGGCGCTGAAGCTTTGGCAGAAGCTCTTTATACAAATATTACTTTAACCTCTTTAGATCTCAGTCTTAATCATATTACATGTAATGGAGTGATAGCATTATCGAAAGTTCTTTATAAAAATACTGGTTTAACTTCTTTATATCTTCGTAGTAATAAATTTACTTTTGAAGGAGTAAAAGAATTAGCAAAAGCACTTTGCAAAAACACCACATTAACTTCCTTAGATCTTAGCAATAACCTACTTACTTTTAAAGAAGGACAAGTGCTAGCAGAAGCTCTTTGCAAAAATTCCACTCTAACATCTTTGGATCTCAGTAATAATCGATTTGGTTATGAAGGGGTAAAAGTATTGGCAGAAGCTCTCTGTCAAAACACGTCTTTAATTAAATTAAATGTTTGTAATAATCAATTTAGTTTTAAAGAGCATAAAATATTGGCAAAAGATTTTTATAAAATTAATACCTTAATTTCATTAGATTTAGATTATTGGTTTTAAACTATAGAATTTAAATCTAAGTAGCCAATTAGTGATTACGCTTACAGCGAACGACAAAGCGATATCACAAAATGTAATTATACAAACTTAATTATTTGATTAAAATTAATATTTAATACTGTATACATGTCTCTTATATAATATACTCTAAATAAGTATGTATATAATATATATAAAGTAAACCAATAGGAACTTGTTTTGCAAAAGATGTTTTAGTATTATTTAACCCACTTTTATTAAATTTGATTTTTTTTAGCAAAAAATTAAATATTTATCCTTATAAAAAATTTTAAATTGTTCAACATTTTTCGTAACAAAAAATATATATAAAACCTTTATATATTATTTAATTTTCTGAATGTTTCTGAAACTCTGAAAATTTTCTGGTTATAATTTTTATAAAGCAAAAAATTATGACCAAGAAATTATCAGAGTTTCAGAAATATCAGAAAATTATTAAGATTTTATATAAATTTTTGTTACGAAAAAAATGCCCATCTTTTAAAAAAAAATTATCTGAACAAAGCCCGAATAAGATTTTTAGTTTTTTTTTTTTTTTTTTATAGTGTATAGTTGTGATTTATTCGAAAAAAGTTGTTTAAATTTTTATCATAACACTTCTTTGTTCTTTTGAAAAAAAGAATATAATATAAATTATTAAATCAAAATAATAAGCTAACCATAAAAGTTGATTGATTTTTATTAGATAATTTGGTTATATTTTTTAAGCAATTATAATCGTACTTGTAATAAATAATAAATATTTAGATCATGGTGAAATAAGATTTCATTAAAAATTCCGACAAAATAGTCCAAATTAATGATTTAATTCGTATTTTAAAAATTAGTTTTTTTTGAATCTTAATTAAATTTAATAGAATAGTAAATTTTTTAGAAATAGGTTTTAGAACATATTATAATTAAAATGAGGTTTAAGTTTTAAATTCAATACTTTTATATTTTAATTATCTTAGCATAATTTAATTTTTACTATAACTTGTAATAAATACAAAAGGCAAAATTTCTATTTAACAAGATATTATAATATAAAATACAAAGTTTTTATATTTAAAAATAAATTTTTATTATGGAGTATATCATCAACTCTTTTTGATAACCATCATAACTAAACTTTTCAAAAAGTCAAACTATAGAAAAACACTATAGTTAATATATTAAACTTTATAATAACTTTTTTTAGAGTATTGGATATGCATAGCAGATGTTGAAATAGAGTTGAAAAAGAAGTTATTACTTTGTAATAATGGTTTAAAAGCACTTTGAAACTATAGAAAAAGTGATTGCTGAAAATTAAATATTTCTTATAAAATAAATAACAGAGTTAAATATATTATTTCTATATAACTATAAAACTTATAAAGAACATCTATAAGGGTAAAAAACTCATAGAAATTAAAAGTTTAGTTTACTTATTACTTTTTTTTTTAAGAAAAAATTGTAAAAAGTAGACAATTTGATTTATTTTTTCCAAATAATTAATATATAAAATTACCAAAACAGTTAGTATTTACTTTCAAATTAGAATTATAAAAACAATATAGTAATATAAGCATGACTTATACATGTATTTAAAATTACTGAAACACTATAAAATATTGTTTTTGGACTAACTAGTAACTTATATTGATTCTTTATATTCAAGTTAAAACTTTATTCTATATAGTTTTTATTAAATATTTTAAATAAATAAAAAAATAATAAATTTGTTTCTATTTAGTATAGTTTATAATTTTTAAAAGCCTTATATAGACTTATAATTATAACTATCTAATAGTTATATAGTAAAAGTTATACATATTTTTTAACTTTTTTTATTTTTTATTTTTTTTCTTTTATTTTTTGTATTATATCTTTTATTGTTCATCTCTATATTTTTTTTATAAATTTTTTTTGTTTTTATTTACTTTTTTATAAAAAGATGTTATTAAATTAGTAATATTCTATTGTAGAGTAGTAGTTATATACAACCTCTTGTATACTCTAATTTCTTATAAAATTAAATAGCCAATAAAGGCAGATTACTTGTAAAACATATAGAAGTATTTATAAGATATTAGACCAAAATTTATATAAAATTTGTATATATGTATACAAAAATTATAATAAAAATAACCAGTAAGACTGCTTAAATAAAATAAAACTCACACGCCCATTATATTGTTAATACAATTATCATTTCTATTCTTGAATATCATCTCCAAAACATTGTAGTTAGTTAGCCTACCTGCAATAAAATTTTTATCCAACATATCAGTCTTGTTAAACTCAAAACTAAACTTTGTCATACAATATCCTCTAGTATCCTTTTACATCTTCAAATTTATAATATCAAACACATCTGGAATATCCAACTACAACACCATATTTCTAATCTTCTCAAATGACTTAATAATCCTGATCTATTAGACACATCAACTCACATCTGAATTCAACAGTT